ACCCCCATCCATTTTTGTGGCAGCTTTGTCCTTAACTTGGCCAGTCCTTATTTGTTCTCATGCATGTTGCCTCCTTGTTGGCGCTAGCCTCAGTTGTATCTTGGGCATCTGAGGTTTCCCTTGAGGTCTGGCTGCACCAGCCCTGTTGGTCGTTGGGAGGGAACCAGGGCGCATCCCTGGGGAGGATGGGGGGTTTGGGTGCTGTTGGCCGTGGGATCCCATGGGCTGAAGGCAGCCTGCGTTTGCCTCCCAGAAACTGGAACGAATCTCTGCGAGTGCTGGCAGAGCCAGCCTAATGCACATCAACTCAGGGCTTCAGCAGGCCTGAAGAAGGCAAGTGTTTCCAACAGGTTGGCTTTAGCATCTGCTCTGGAAAATAAATGCACTCGGTGAGGGTTCTGGGTTCATATCTGCTGCTCTGTGCCCTGAGGTCTGCCTGCACAGCCCCTGTACTGGTCTGCAGACCTTCCTGTACTGTGTTCAAGAGAGGACAGATATTATCAGTGGGGTTTCACGTAAGTGGAAGTTGCTTAACGCTAATGCCATCAACTTCTGTTGTCGTTTCAGCTTCTACAATGTGATGAATTAGTCAGGGCTAGTGAGCAAACTCTTGCTCTCCTGTCACGTTGCCTTCTCAGCCTGAACCTCTTCCTGAAAACAGGAACCCTGGGCTTCAATGAGAACTGGTCATGTAGATTTAATATGATATGTTACATTAATTAGAAGAGAAATAGTCTTTTTGACACGTTGCATTTGCAGGGAAACTTGCTGGTTGAATTAGTCTTAAAGCTGGGGAGGGGAAGGAAATGATCTAAAGCCTTTGCTGTACTGTGTTACCCTGGACTAGGCAGCTTACCTAGACAAATGTGGCAGTCCTGCAAAGCTCACACTGTGGATTTAAATCACTGTAAAATACTTTGAAAAAAAGGCTCTTATCTTTGGTACTACCTTTTTCTATTGTACTGAGTCTTCCTCTACTTTTCTTCTTCTCAGGGGGAGAAAATTTGGTTTTATAGAAAGCCTGCAAACAGCCACTACTATTTAGACGAAATTCATGCTAGTAGCGTGCATCTACTTTGCACAGGAGTATATAACTCTAAGACCCAAAGTAGAAATTCAGGTTATAGAAGTGTGATGTCAAGAGCTCAAGTACTGGCCTTGAATTACTTGGTGTCTACTTGGATTACTGTAATTTGAGGGTGTGCTTCAGTGATTAAAATACATGATTGTGATTACCAACATGTTACTAGTTTCTAATTCCTCTCTGTGTTCCTTGTGTTGCAAAAAGCTGAGGAGTGGGAGCTCCTAGAGAGATTCTGAAGACAAAAGCAATCTTGATGGTTTGTCAGAGAGAAATATGGGGCTATCAGAAATGAAAAAGGTAGATTGTACTGGGTTGACAAAGGTTGTATTTTAAATATAGGAATACCAAAAAGACATCCCCTTGGATCGAAGGCAAATTCTAGCTGCTATTTTTCAGCACACTTGACTGCATTAAAACTAAACTAGAAGTTGAGGTGCACTTAGGAGAGAGGACTGAAAAAAGAGCAAAACTTCATTTCAACTTAACTATGAGTCTGGTATTTAAAGAAGCAACAGCTCAGCAATTTCCTCAGTGGACTGGAAGCAAAAAGTATTTTCTTTTACTGTCCTGTAAGCTGTCCCCCTCCTCGAGTACATTCCTGCATGTCCTCTTGGAGCATGCCAAGCAATGGAGGCAGCACAGAAGTGGGATGCAAGGTAGGCAGATATTTTTCCTCCCTTTTTGGCTGCTCTGTTCTGCATGCATACATTGCACATAGCTGAGATTTTTGCATCACTTAAAATAAGGTAGGTGGGTAAGAAGGCCATAGATTTTTTAGCCTATTGGTAGGTGTTTGCATAAACCCACACTTACCTCTCTGTACATACAAAAGCAGGCTCAGCAGACTAGATCTGGATCCTTTCTTAGAAATTACCTGACACCCAAGGAAGTCTAGTGGTAAAATTCCTGTCAGTGACATCAGTGTCTCTGATATTTAAAGCCATTATCTCCCTTTCCTGGAACCAGGGACTTTAGAAAAATATTCCACTGGCTGGAGTAGTAAAGGGACTAACTAGAAACTGGGCTTTAACACTTGAGTGTGTTACAAGGATTGCCTATGGTCTGCGTGTTGGGGACAGAGGAAGAGCATGTCTCCTCATTCTTGCCCCAGATAGAGTGACATGCATGGTTGCATATTGAAATATCAACTAACTTTTGAGGTACTGTTCTCTTTCCTTATGTCACTCAGCTGATGTACTTCAGTTCTCAGGGGCTACAGGTGTTCCACTGAGACACAAAGTGGGAAGCCTTACCTGACATCTCAGCGTGAGTACGAACACACAGTATGCGCTTTAAAAACGTATTCTTTTGTGCAGCATCTGCCTGCTGCTCCCTTTCTTCTTAGAGGTGACAGCACTAATATGCATGGAGCATTTGAATTTGCTCTGGGTGGAAACCGCAGCCTTCTGAGTGCTGATGTGACGTCAAGTGGCAGCGCGTTTGCTCGGTTACGTTTACGAGTAGTGCCCTCTGTGGGCGACTGGACCTCGGCGAACACGAGTGAAGATTCAAGTGTGCTGAGCGGGGGACGCTGCAAAGATGCGGGGGTCTGCAGCAGTGCAGCCGCGCTAACTGCAGGACAGCCGGTGGGTTTCCCATGCGCAGTAACAAATGTGCGTTGCTTTTGGGGCAGGGGAGCAACAGACGTTGAAGACCTAGGCACACTGGAAAAAAATACTGTTACAGGAGGAAATGCTGCCTTGCTGGTAGCAAAGATGGTGTTTATATGCCTTAAGAACTGGGGATACGCTTTTGTTCACTTGACTCAAATATGGAAGGGAACCACGGGATGGGGGGAAATCAGTCCTGAAAGTGCCCCAAGACTGCCCTCAGGACCAGATTTATTGTCCACCCACAGAGCATCTCTCAGAGTGAGTCCCCAGGCTTGCCTGGAGGCTCTTCTACTGCAGGATGGTTCCCCGCATGTGGATGAGGAGCCGTCCAGCTTGCCCGTGAGGCCCTGGCATGAATGGCAGGCAGCAGATCCAGGAGCGTGCCATGCCCACAGCTGGATCTC